CCGGTAGGTAGTCCTTGGCATCCGAGGTCCCTCCCCCAGCTGAGGAAGGCTGTGGGGGCTCATCTGTCTGGTGCTGCTGCCCTGGCTTCTTCCAATTGGCTGCCAACATTCCCTGTCTGGCTTGTTAGGTTGTAGCTCTGTGTGTGTGTAATGTGGGTGTTCCCTGGCACTGCTGTTACATTGTAGCTCTGTTGTATGTAATGGGGGTGTCCCTGGCACTGCTGTGTTAGGTTGTAGCTCTGTATGTATAACATGGGTGTTCCCTGGCGCTGCTGTTACATTGTAGCTCTGTGTGTGTAATGTGGGTGTTCCCTGTCTGGCTGTGTTAGGTTGTAGCTCTGTGTGTGTAATGTGGGTGATCCCTGTCTGGCTGTGTTAGGTTGTAGCTCTGTGTGTGTAATGTGGGTGTTCCCTGTCTGGCTGTGTTAGGTTGTAGCTGTGTGTGTAATGTGGGTGTTCCCTGTCTGGCTGTGTTAGGTTATAGCTCTGTTGTGTATGACATGGGTGTTCCATGGCACTGCTGTGTTACATTGTTGCTCTGTTGTGTGTGATGTGGGTGTTCCCTGGCACTGCTGTTACATGGTAGCTCTGTTGTGTGTAACATGGGTGTTCCCTTAGGCATGAGGATCTTTTCCGGGTGGGGACCTGCTTCTACGGACTTTGTACGAGTGCATTTGTGGGGTCCTGTGTCTGCCATTCTCTTGGGTGGATTCTTTGGGGAGGAATCACTGGATTGTCTGGTGAGTTTTCAGGGCAATTTTTAACATAGCCAGAGTCTCCCAAGCTGGACCATTCTGCACTCCCAGAGCCGGTGCACGGGCGTTCAGTTCCTCCGACTGCTTGCCATCTGCTCCCGCTGTCAGTCTCATTGTTACAGGTGTTCCAGCCGGTGCTGCTCACGGTACAGGTGCACACTGCTGTCTCGGTGCCTTTGCCTCTCCCGAGGACCGGTGGGCTGAGCGTCTTCTCGTGAGTGCCTGGGCATCCAGATTTCTTCTTTGGTAAAATGTCTGTTCACACGTTTCGCTCGTTTTTGGTGGCTCTGTCTTTAATGCTGCGTTACAAAGTTGCAACTTACAGGGAGCCGTGTCGATTCTCCGGATTCGGGTCCTTAAGTGGAAATTGGTTTGCAAATATCTTACCCCAGGCTGTGGCTTATCTTTCACTTTCTTAGTGGCATCTTTTAGGAGTCAAAAGTTCTAACGGTTAAAAAAGATTGATTTATTTGAAGGACTGAGTTACGGAGAGAGGTAGAGACAGAGAGAGAGAGAGAGAGAGGGAGAGGTCTTCCATCCACTGGTTCACTCCCCAGATGGCTGCAATGGCTGGAGCTGCGCTGATCCGAAGCCAGGAGCCAGGAGCTTCTTCTAGGTCTCCCACGTGGGTGCAGGGGTCCAAGGACTTGGGTCATCCTCCACTGCTTTCCCAGGCCATAGCAGGGAGCTGGATCAGAAGAGGAGCAGCTGGGACTGGAACCAGTGCCCGTATGGGATGTTGGCACTGCAGGCTGGGGCTTTAACCCACTGTGCCACAGCACTGACCAGTATATATTCTCTGTGGATCACATTTATCATGTTTTTGGTGTCATATTTAAGAATTCCTCCTAATTCAAGTTTATGAAGATTTTCCCCTGTTTTGTTTTTTAATTTTTTAAAAAAATTATTTATTTGAAAGTCAGAGTCACAGATGCAGAGAGAGGTCTTCTATCCACTGGCTCACTCCCCAAATGGCCACGATGACCGGGGCTGGGCCAGGCCAAAGCCGGGGGCCTAGAACTCCATCCTGGTTGCCTGCCTGGGTGCAGGGGCCTAAGGATTTGGGCCACCACCTGCTGCCTTCCCAGGCCATTAGGGGGCCGGATGGGACGTGGGGCAGCCGGGACTGGAGCCGGCATTTACAGGGCTGCCGGCGCCACAGGCAGCGGCTTAACCTGCTGCGCCACAACAGCAGCCCGTGCAGGACTTTTAAGTCGATCAATGATTTCGAAAAAGGTGGATCTAAGTCCGGCAGCCGTTCAATTTCTTATCGAGCGCATCAGTCAATCGGTTTTGATCATTTGCCTCTGTCTGGGGGTTTGGGCGCTTCCTCCCAGAATCCGCTCTGCCAGCAGAAAGTTGTTCCGACTGCTCCCTCCCACTCCCCTCTGCGTTCGGAAATCCCAAGGGCACGGGTGGCTCCCGTGCCGTGCCGGTGGGCCTGTGCCACGCCGGTGGGCCTGTGCCGTGCCGGCTGGCCTGAGCTGGCGACTGCCGACTTTCCCGCCGTCCTGTCAGTTACCTGCAGTGTGGCGACGAAGCCCCCAGTGTTGCCGAGCTGTCCGTGTCTCCTGGTTCCGTCAGCATTTGCTTTCTGTGTTTGGGGCTGAGTTGTTGTGGGCGTGGGCGTTTGTGATGGTTACGTGTCCTGAGGCATGGCCGTGACGCCCCCGTAGTGTGTGTCTCTTCTGTCTTTGGTGCTAGTTCTTGTACTGAAGTCTGTGTTTGAGAGTGAGAGAGACAGAGAGCCCCCGTCTGCCGGTTCGCTCCCCCAATGCCTGCACCAGTGCCGAGAGCCAGGAGCTCCATCCGGGTCTCCCATGTGGGTGACAGGAGCCCGCTGTTCTGGAACCGAATCACAGGTTTTATAACAGGTTTAAAAACAGAGTCAGTCGCCTAGTAGGGCACTGTGGTCACTGCTGGATGTCACCCTACATTGTCTTATTTTGGCTTTTAAAGATTTATTCATTTATTTGACAGGCAGAGTTACAGAGAGAGAGAGAGAGGTCTTCCAGCCACTGGTTCACTCCACAAATGGCTGCAATGGCCAGAGCTGGGCCAGGCTGAAGCCAGGAGCCAGGAGCTTCTTCGGGGTCTCCCATGTGGGTGCAGGGGCCCAAGCACTCAGGCCGTCTGCCACTGCCTTCCCAGGCCATGAGCAGGGAGCTGGATCGGAAGTGCAGCAGCCGGGAGTGGACTCAGCGCTCACGTGGGATGCCGGCACCGCAGGCGGCAGCTGTACCTGCTATGTCACAGCGCCAGCGCCACATCTTTTGTTTTCAAAAGGAGTCCTGGGACGGGAAGATAAGAGTCCACCGTGGAACCGCCTGTGCTCATCCCGATGGCCAGCGGTGGCTCGCTCTCTGGGTTTGTCCCCATCTGACACCACTGGCTCTCAGCATCCAGGCTCCCGGTCTCCCGCATCCCTCATCCTCTCCTGTCTGTGATTTGCTTTCGTTTTTGAAAGCTTCGTTTGTGCAGAAGGCTCGGCTGACATTTTTCCTTGTAGGGCTTTTTTTTTTTTTTAAGATTTATTTTTATTTGAAAGGCAGAGTTACAGAGAGGAGGAGAGAGGTCTTCCATCTGCTGGTTCGCTCCTCAAATTGGCCGCAATGGCTGGAACTGCGCCGATCCAAAGCCAGGAGCTTCTTCGTGGTCTCCCACGTGGGTGCGGGGACCCAGGCGCTTGGGCTGTCTTCTACTGCTTCCCCAGGCCACGGCAGGGAGCTGGATGGGAAGTGGAGCAGCCGGGACTTGAACCAGCACCCACATGGGATGCCAGCGCCATAGGTGGAAGCTTAGCCCGCTATGCCACAGTGCCGGCCCCTCCTTGGTTCCTGAAGCAGAGGCGGCCGTCAGTCAGGCTGGGGTCCCTGCTCGGGGCCACACTTTTTGTGTCTGAATGTGGAGTGTGTATGTGCATTGTCCTGCCGGGATTTGTGGAATTTTTGCAAGTGTAGATCAGTGTCTTCATCAGGTCTGGGCAACGTCAGTCATCACGCCTTCAACATTTTCCTGCCGCTTTCTCTGGCTCCTCTCGTCCTGGAATCCCATCTCATGTGTGTCTGGTGCACGTGCGTTGGTGCTCATGTGTATTGGTGTTCATGTGTGCGGGTGCATACGTGTTGGTGCACACATGTGTTGTATTCATGTGTGCCGGTGCACATGTGTCAGTGCATGTGTGCTGGTGCACACGTGTGCTGGTCGCATGTGTCGGTGCACACATGTACTGGTACATATGTGTACTGGTGCACACGTGTGCTGGTGCAGCTGGTGTCCCACGGATGTCCGAGGCTCAGTTCGTTTCTCCCCCGGTTTCTCTCCATGTTCTCTCATCGCATGACCCCTGTGGAGCCACCGCCCAGCTCTCCTGCCGCAAGTGTAGTGTGGGTTTTTTGTCTCAGTTATTTTTCACTCTTCGACTGGCATCCATTTCTCAAACGCTTCGATTCTTCACTGGGCTCCGTCCGCCATCGCTGCGTGTTTTCCTTTAGTTCTGCGGCCCCGGTCGTCTGTCTTGGAGCTGGCCTTCGGGGTCCTTGCGTGGACTGCGCGGTACCTGTCCCTGAGTGCTGGTTGCCGGTAGCAGGTTTCCGTCTCCTGTGTCCTTCCACGGCCTGTACCCTGGTGTGGGAAACGCAGGCGCTGGATGGCAGAGTGTGGGGGCTCGGGGTCCTGACTCCGCCCCTCAGAGAGGGGTCAGGGGTCAGGGATTGGGGGCGAGGGGGCCTTTCCAGCCCTGCCATGGCTGTCCCCTCTGCCGCCCCCGTGTCTGCTCTGCCCGTGCCGCCGGCTCTCACGCGTGGGCCCCTCTGCTCTCCCGATCAGGCTGCCGCCCGGGAATGCCGGGAAGCCCTGCACCTGCGGGGCTCTGGGTGGGAGCCGGGCCAGGTGAGAGGCCACGCCCCCATCTCACCCAAAGCTCCACGGCGCTTCACCGTCGGCACAGCTGAGCGCTGTGAATCCTGGCCGGTTTCCCGGCAGATCTGGGGGAGAGGATCGGGCAGAGTCCTCGTCTCTGAGAACAAAGCCTTTCACACTGTGAGGCAGGGGTGAAGCTGCACGGAAGTCTGGGGTCCCCGCTCTCCCCCAGGGGGCGCAGGCGCTGCCCCTCGGCTCCCGGCATCCTGTGGGCGGCGCCAGGCCAGGTGCTCTTCTCACGGCTGCAGCGTGACATCACCTGTGAGATGCCAGTGCGGCTGCAGCAGGTGCATGGTGTGTATTTCTGTTTCTTAAAGTGAAGAGTTATTATTATTTTAAAAAGCATTTATTTATTTGAAAGGCAGAGTTAGAGAGAGAGAGAGAGAGAGAGAGAGAGAGGTCTTCCATCTGCTTGTTCACTCCCCCAATGGCCACAATGGCCAGGGCTGGGCCAGGCTGAAGCCAGGGGCCGGGAGCCTCCTGCAGGTCTCCCACGTGGGTGCAGGGGCCCAAGGACTTGGGCATCTTCCACTGCTTTCCCAGGCCGCAGCAGAGAGCTGGATCGGAAGTGGGGCAGCCGGGACTGGAGCTGGTGCCCACATGGCTCTGCCTACGATGGCGCAGTGCGGGCCTCCGGGTTAATTTTTTGATTGTGGATCGTTGTTGTGTCCCACGCGGGTGTGGGAAGCGTGAGGTCCCAGCTGCATGTTTGCAGCCCTCTGGCAGTGGCAGCGTTGGGTGGACAGCGCTAGTCCAGGGCACAGCCGGGATGTGGGTGGTGCCACAGTCCACACACGCGGATGCTTGGGGTCACACCCGCAGCCCCTATCCCTGAGCGCCTCTTGTCCATTTCTGTGTGTTGTTTGGTTCACGTGGGCAGTGCTGGGGAATCGTACTGGGGTGGGATGGGCTTGGGCTGTCACTCAGTCAACACCCTGGTGCTCCTTCCACGTGGCCGGGCTCATCGGGGTTTGTTCTGTTTCCTAAGCGAGCAGAGATGCTGTTGTTTAGCGTGGGCGGGCTTCTCCACACGCACCCAAGTGTGTGTGTGTGTGTGTGTGTTCATGTGTGCACCTGAGTCTGGTGTGCGTGTGCACATGTACACGTGTGCACCCAAGCGTGGTATGAGTGTGCACACATGTGCATGTGCATGTGTGTGTATACCTGAGTGTGGCGTGTGCACTGTGGTGTGAGTGTGCACACACGTACACGCACGTGCACCTGAGTGTGGTGTGCACACACATATACATATGTATGTGCACCTGAGCATGGTTTCTGTTTGCACACGCATGTGTGTGTGCACCTGAGTGTGTTTAGTGTACACACATGTGTGTGTGCACATGCGTGTGTCAGTGCAGTCGGGGCTGTCCAGGTCTCTGGTCTCCTGGTGCTGGGATGCGAGGGCCTGGGGGCTGGGGGCGCAGTGGGTGGTGAGGAGATGGGGGAGGGGTGAGACGTGGCGAGGAGCACGGTTGCCTGCCCGGGGCGCACAGCCCTGAGGAGCCAGGCTCCTGTTTCGGGGGGCACGGGGTAGTTTTGGGGGTCGCAGGCTGACCCTGTTGCCCTGGGATCACCCACTGTGGCTGGGGCCGGGGCCCGGGGCGCACAGCCCTGAGGAGCCGGGGCAGAGGGCCCATGTGGAGACCTTGTGAGTCCCCTGACCCCAGAGTCGGTCCACAGCGCCTGCGCCAGGCGGCGTCCCCGGTGGCCCCGGGCGAAGCCGCTGCAGCCGTGCGCCCACAGGGCACGAGTGCTCTGCGGGTGTGAGAGCCTCCATCAGATTCCAGCGGCCTGAGGCAGCGCCGGGGGCGGCCCCTCGGGCTCTCAGGCGTGGGTTGTCTCCATGAGACCTCGAGTAGGTCCAGGGACTCGTCCACGGCCGGCAGGGGTCAGAGCCAGTGCAGTGGCAGAGCCGCCGGACACCTGGCGCCCTGGGGGGGGGGGCGCTAGGTCGGGAGCTGGAGACAGGTGTATTGCACGCTTGACAGGTGCCTCAGGACGGAGTGCAGAGCTGGGTGTGCGTGGGATGGACAGGTGGACGGGTGGACGGGTGGACGGGTGGACCGGTGAAGAATGGAGGGATGGACAGATGGCTGGACAGATGGGTGGGTGGGTAGGTAAGATGGGTGGATGGATGGACAGGTGGGTGGATGGACGGATGGGTGGATGGACAGGTGGGTGGATGGATGGACACCTGGGTGGCTGGTGGACAGATCCACGCATGGCTGAATGACAGACGGTGCAGCAGGAGCGGTGGCAGATGTGCCGCGGGGTGAGCGGGCGATGGACAACGTGACCCACAGGCACCGGAAGATGAAGGCAGGAAGCTGGGAGAAGTGGGGGTGTGGACGCTTTCAGGGTGCTCACGTTGCCATGTGGCAGCTGGAGACGCTGAGGCCACACTGGGGTCCCCCAGCTCAGAGCCCACGAGGAGCAGAGCGGGGCCTGCAGCCAGACCCCAGCTTCCTCCCATGGTGTCCTGCCCCAGAGAGGTGAGGTCCAGCCCAGGGCCCCATGGAAGCGGACCCTGGTCCCGGTGGACGGACAGACGTCCGGACCTCCTGGGCCAGGGCAGTGGGGTCAAGGGTCGGGGTCTGGCCCCTGGCAGCAGCCACTCACCGAGCACCTACTGTGTGGGGGGAGAGTGCTGGCGGCTGGAGCCTCCCCGGTGGCCATCTCTGCTCTGCACCCAGGGCGTGGCCAGGCTGTGTCGACGGCTGGGCCGGGGAGCTGGGGTTCATCTCGGCAAAGTGGCCATTCACAGCTCGGTAGGCCTCGGCACGGGGAAGAGGGAGACGCCGCGGCACGAAATCGCCGTTCCCGACCAGCGGGCACCCGCTCCAGGCTGGGCTCACACATGGTGCCCTGTGCCCTGGATTCCGGGGTGACTGTGGGGTGGAGTGGGGAAGTGCGGGGGACCAGGGCGCCCAGCGCCCAGCGCCATGCCAGGTGGTCCTGGAGTGGCCACTTCCCGGCTCTGTGACCATGGCCAGGTCACGCCGAGGTGTCCGTCTCCCCAGGGCCACCAGGTCCACGTGCCATGGGGCGCTTCATTCCTGCAAGTGGAGCCCAGGTTTAGACTGCCCATGGGGGCGTCCAAGGAGCCCGAGACCCCAGCTCCAGGGGCCATCCCTGGGGCCCGGACCGCTCGGGGCAGCCTGGCCGGTGCAGGCCGGGCTCCCAGGAGGGTGCACATAGCACAGCTGGTAGAAGCAGGGGGGGTGGCTCTCCCCGGCCATCCCGGGAAGAGGGGGAGGTCCTGGCCGGCGGTGGGGCTGGGGGCTGGGGTGCACCTGCCAGGAGAGGAGGAGCCATGGCCAGGCCAGCAGGGCTCAGCGCGGGGCCGCGTCACCCTGCTCCTCGCCGCACACCAGGCGAGAGGCAGAGACGGGAGCGTCGGCTTCCGTGAGCCGGGCGGCCCCTGGCTGGGCGGAGGGCAGTGTGGCGAGGCCAGGCCGGGAAGCCTCCTGGTCTGCGGACCCCTCTCCCCCACCGTCACCAGCTCTGGAGCTTTCTGGGGGTCCTGGGACTGCGAGTGACCCTCGTTCTCTGAGCTTCCAGCGCCTTCGCTCTCCCAGGAAGTAGAAGCTGGCCGAGGGCCGGGCGGGCCTCCCTGGGTGCTCTCAGCCTTGGTTTCGCCGTCTGTAGGATGGGTGCAGGGCAGCGTCTGTGGTGGGGGGGGCGTCCCTGACCCTCCCGGGGGGTGTAGGGCCCGGGAAACGACTGCTCCGGGCAGGTACCTCTCACGGCCCGAGTGGGCTCCTGGGGGTGGCGGCCAGGCCTGGACACGCTTGTGGCCGTTTGCATTGTCCAGGGTGCAGCCGGGTGCGGGCCTGTTTCCCGACACGGACCTGGACGCTGTGCACAGCGTGTGTCATGCACAACTGCGTGTGCCGACGCACCCCGTGTGCCCCGGCCCTGTGACCTCACACTGGGGGCCTGGCCGTGTGTCCCGTCCGTGCTGTGCTGTGTGCCCCGTCTCCCTGCCTGCTCGTCCCCCTCGCGGGTGCTGGTGGGGGTGGGGCTCCTGGGGCAGGGGGCGGAGCCGCAGGCAGAGGTGGGGGCACTTCCTGTCGTCCTGCAGGCCGGAGCGGTGCAGCCCTGGCCCTGTCCCCACTCCCACTGCCGGAAGCCCTCGGCGGTCTCCCTTGATCCAGCTTCCTGGCAGGGGAAACCGATGCTGAATGCAGCCAGCCCCCACCCCCCACGTGGCCCCGCCCCCGGCAGCCCGCTTCCTCCCGCAGATCCTCAAACACCTTTGCCACAGACCCGGGCGGGCCCAGGCCTCCCCATCTGCTGGGCTGGCAGGGTTCCCATGGCAACGGCGATGACATCACAAAGGGCTGGGGGAGGAGGCAGCAGGGAGGCTGGGCGAGGCCCTGGGGGGGATTCCTGGCTGCTCCAGGGCCATGGCCATCCGTCCCCCGGCGCGTGCGTGTGCTTGGGACGGCAGAGCCGCTGGGACACGGAGAGGCTCGGCCAAGCCCACTGCTCCTCACGCAGGGCCCCCCGGGGCCTTGTTACGTGCGCTGCAGGGTCTTGACCGAGCTGGCTGGAGATTGTTCCAGAAACCAGGGGCTGTGAGCGCAGGCGGGGCCCCGAGGGAGTAGCAGGGGGACCACGGGGTGCCCCCACCTGCGCCTTCCCACTCAGCCCCTGCCGAGCGCTCGTGCGCACGCCCCTCCTCGGGAAGGGGTGACTGGAGAGAGGGAGACACGCAGAGATGCTGCCTCTGCCGGCTCGCTCCCCGACGCTCCGAGCAGCCAGGAGCCGGGAGCTCCCTCCGGGTCTCCCGAGCACTTGGGCATCTTCCACTGCCTTCCTGGGCGTGGCAGGGAGCTGGCCGGGAAGTGGGGCAGCCGGGCTTCCCCCGCGGTGCCACGACGCCGGCCCCTTCCTCTTTTGTGCCGATGGAGGGGCAGGGGAAGGTTCTGCTCACGAACCCCGGGCAGCATCCTCCCGGCCCCTCCTGCCTCTGCCCACCCCTGCCGCTCCCTCAGCCCCCGACCCCCGGGGCTGCTCTGACCGACCCTCCCCGGGCCCTGCTTTGCCTGGGTGGACTTGGCGGTCATTCACTCGGTCACGGCCGCCGAGGAGAGGGCGGTGCCGGGGCGTCTCGCGGGGTCTCTTCCTCAGCTCAGGATGCAAATAAGAAACCGGGAACCAATCTGCAAAGAGGCAGAGACTTTTACTTGATGGAGAGAAACTTTGACTCGATTGGCAGGCGACAGAGAGGCGCTGGTCCGAGGGGAGAGGGGTGGGGGCGCCCGAGCAGGCACTGGCTCTGAGGGGGTCTGGGGTTAGGTCCTTGCTCTCCACTGGGTCATGCTGGGCGGTGCCCGTTGCGCGGGGGTTTCACGTGCTGTGCGTGGATTGGCTTGGGGCTCATGGGGGGGTCTCCTGGAGCCTGGTCCCCGGGGACCGCCCTGGGGGGTAGATTTAAAGCCGCGGTCACGCGGGCAGCACAAGGAGCCGTTGGTGGGGGAGAGGCCGGTTGGCTGGGCCTGCTTGTTAAGGACATTCTGCCTGCGTCCGAGGGGCCCAGCCCCCAGCCCCACTGCGCAGCCTCGCTCCCCAGGGTGTGCGTGCAGGGAGCGCCTGAGTGTGTGCCCCTGGGCTGGCGTGGCGAGGGCACAGCAGTGGACGGCACAGCCGTGGCTTCTGCCGTTACCATGGGCTCGGGGCTTCAGCCACAGGCGCTGGCCCTGGGGAGCCGAGTGACAGGTCTGCGGAGATGGCCCTGGGCGAGAGCTCCAGGGCAGAGCAGGCCTGGCGGGCTTCCCAGAGGAGGTGACGTGGCCGCGACTCCCTGGCCAGGGGCCACGGTGCAGGCTCTGCTCTTGCTCTCAGACCTTGGGGAAGCCTCTGCCCACTCGGGCCTGGGTTTTGCAGGGGAGGTGACGGTGGTGAGGGCAGGGGAGGGGAGCTGAGTGGGGGGGTGAGTGTGGGGCTGAGTGTGCAGGGTCGCGGTGGCCACGTGCCTCCGCCGGGTGCCGATCGGTCGCCGTCCGTGCTCCTGCTCTGCTGGCGCGAGTTTCGGCTCTCGTTGCCCTGCTCCCTCTGCCTCCGCGCCCCCGCCCCCGGCCCCGCGTGGCCCGGAACTCGGAATACCCATAGGCGTTCACACTCCTCCCTCAAGGTTCTGTGGGGTCGGGGCTGCCCCTCGTCTCTGGCCGCCGACGGGGCACCGGTTCTGAGCTTGGCGAGCCCAGCTCTCCCGGGGCGGACGCGCACGGACTTTGCTCGCGGGGCGTTGCCATGGCTTCGTGGTTCCGATCTCGCCGATTCCTCGGGGGGGTGACGGGGGCTGAGCGCGGCCTGCCGCCCGGGAAGAGGTCTCACCGCCCCCTCTGCGCCCAGCCTGAGGGGCGGGGCCCGGGTCAGCAGGTGGAGGTCTCTGGGCGGGGGGTGGGGCTGGCCCAGCTGTGATGGGGAGGGTGTGGGGAGCCGGGGGCCACGTGGCCGCCCCTCGCTCCTCACCCCTGCTGGGTGGGTGTGCAGGCCCCAAGCCCCCACTCCAACACCCGGGCAAGGTAAACTCACGGACGGACGGACAGGCGGACTGAGACACACAGTCACAGCCACACACACGGGCAGGCGTCCATCAGCTATGCAGACACAGCCACACACACAGCCATGAGTCAGACACGCAGGAACACGTGGACACGCACACACACATAGCCACACGAGTCAGACACACTTACAGGGGCACGTGGACACGCATGCACATGCACACACACACGCACACACACATAGACACACGAGTCAGACATGCTTACAGGGACACGTGGACACGCACACACACAGCCACACGAGTCAGACACACAGGGACATGTGGACACGCATGCACACAGCCACATGAGTCAGACATGCTTACAAGGACACATGGACACACGTGCACACGCACACACAGCCACGTGAGTCAGACACGCTTACAGGGACACATGGACACATGTGCACACACACAAATGCACACACAGCCACATAAGTCAGACATGCTTACAGGGACACGTGGACACATGCACACACACAGCCACATGAGTCAGACACACAGGGACATGTGGACACACATGCACATGCACACACACACAGCCATATGAGTCAGACACGCGTACAGGGACACGTGGACACACACACACATAGCCACACAAGTCAGACACGCTCACAGGGTCACGTGGACACGCACGCATACACACACAGCCACACGAGTCAGACACACTTACAGGGACACGTGGACACGCACACACACACACACAGTGAGGCAGTCACGCACAGCCACACCAGGGTCAGCACTGCCCACGGCCCCAGGGAAAGACCTCTCCTCCCCGCCCAGCCTCCCGCCCACAACCCTGCTCCTCCTTGTCCCGGGCGCTTTCTCCTGGGACTGCCTGCCGCCAGCCCTAGCACCCTGACCCCACCCCATGGACAGCTGGGGGCAGCGCAGGGCCTGGTCTCCCCACCCCCAGCAGGTGCCCACATGTCCTGGAAGGTGAGGCCACTGCTGTTGCGGAGGACCTACCGCTGTGCCCAGGTGGGGGGCTGGAGACCCTGCCTGGGGGTCAGCGCCGTGTACCAGGCTCAGTGGTCAGTGGGGGGACCGCAGCCCGCTGGCCCTGTCCGGGGCCTGGGGGAGAGGTGGCCCTGGAGCTGGGCTGAGAGGGTGGGGGAAGGCAGCAGCCCCAGCGGGACCAGGACGAAGGCCTGCGGGCTGGGGACGAGGCCAGGGGATGCCAGGGGCCGGCAGCAAGCTCCCGGGACTCGGGGTCACGGGGCTGGAGGTGGGCGGGGCTGGCACGGTGCCGGCCAGCTAATCCAGCACTGCTCAGAATATGCAAATGACATAATGAGTGCTGTTTGAAATGCAAATGTCACGGCCTGGCTGGGGCTGGGGGCTGGGGGGTTGGGCCGCAGGTTCCTGACAGGTGCGCCCCCTGCTGCGGCTCCCGGCCTGGGGAGCGGGGACCAGGGCACAGTGTTCCGGGGGCTCACCCAGGCCACAGCGGGCAGCAGCAGAGCTCGGGGCTGGCCTCCGGCTCCCCACTTGTCCCAGGGCAGGTGGGCAGGGCAGGGAGCCCTTCCTCAGGGGGCCAAGCCGGCCTCCTCCCAGGGAGCCCCTCCTCCAGGCCAGGCCCAGGCATTCCCACAGCGCCCTGGGTGCATGCGTGTGCTCATGTGTGTGCCGCTGTGATGCCTGCCTGCGGCCGTGTGCCCGTGCGTGCCCGCAAATGAGTGTGTGCATGTATAGGTGCCACTGTGTGTGATGTATGCGTGAGCACACGCATTCACACATGTGTTTGTGCCTACACGGGCATGCCCACCTGCATGCATGCGTGAGTTCTTGTGTGCACTCACACTCCGTGGGGGATGTGACTGCAGAGTGCGGTCACGGGCAGGCGGGGCTCGTCCAGAGCTGAGCCCGCCCCCGCCCCTGGCCCCGCCTTGTGACGCAGGTGGGCCTGGGGGGCCTTGGGGGGTACACAGCAGGCGCTCAGCACACTCTCTGCTCTGGGGCCTCTCTGGACATCCTTGGGACTGATGGTGGCCGGAGTGGGGCCGTGAGCAGGGCCGGGGAGAGGGCAGGTGTGGGCGGGGCCCATAGGGGCCGGGCAGGGGCTGCGCGTGGCCTTGGTCCCTGGTCCCTGGGCTTCTGTCACCTCGCCAGCCGGGCTCGGCCTCATTAGCATATTCAAATGCAGCCGCTGTTATTTGAATTAGCAGAGAAGTAATTAGCTCTAATTGGCGAGCGTCCCCCACTTCCCCACATATTTTTTGGTTATTTGCATCCGCTTCTAACCAATGATTTTGGGTAATTACGCGCCACTCACGCGTCGGCACACGCCGGCTCCAGCGCCAGGTTCCTCGTCGCCGCGGCCTCCGGGGCGCACCTGCTGTGGACCCCGCCTCACCCGCACCGGATGGCGAAAGCCCGGCTCCCGGACCCCCTCCCGTCCTGAAGAAGACCCTCCCGGGGTCACCGCATGCCCCGCTCTCCCAGGCCTGGGGATGCGGGGGGACACGCGCCTGTCGCCGCCCAGGGAGCCCCTGCGGCCCGCGGGGGGCGGGCTCCGTGCGCAGCTCGCCTGCTCCCGGCCTCAGTTTCTCTGGCTGTGAGATGGGGATGAGCCTCCTCGGCAGGTGCAGGGGCGGGGCACTGATGCAAGGAGGGAGTGAGTGATTGGCCCTGTGGGCCAGTGAGGCGCCTGGTGCCGTTGACTGACAGGCGTGAAGCCCCGCACTTCGGGTGTAGCGTAGATGCAGTGGACTGAGGTGCGGGGCGTGGGCTGGGCTGTGTGGGCTCCACGTGCAGGCGGCTGGCCTTGCGTGTCTGGAAGGAGGTTCTTGGGATCTGAGCGAGGTGGGGGAGCCGGGGGCTGGGGCGGAGGCCCCTCCCCCAGCAGCAGGTGTGCCCGAGCCCCCGCTGTGCTCGCCGGTGTCTGGAGGCAGCTGCTCGGGGTCCCTGTCCACAGAAACCGCGTGGGAGCTCTGTGTCAGCGCCTGGACTTGGCATGTCCAAGCCGGAGGCTTCTTGGGACTCCAGGCGCTCGGGGTCTGGGAGGACTGGGGCGTGAGGATCCCGCATGGCCAGAGGGAGGCGCTGTGGGTTCTGGTTCATCCCCACAGGCCCAGGAACCAGGATCCAGGCACCCAGCGCAGAGCCCCCACGGGTGTGGCAGGGCCCCGCCCCCCTGAGCCACTGCCTGCTGCCGTCTCCCAGGGTGCACAGCGTCAGGAAGCTGGGAACCGGGACTCGAACCCAGGTGCTTGGTGCAGGACGCCAGGCTGGGTCCTCACAGCTGCCCGCACGCACACACCTGCCCGGCTCCGGTAGAGACGTTCTCGGGGTCCCGGGAGCCGTGTTCACAGGGGCGCTCTCCTGCCCTCCTGGAGGGGCCCGCGGGGGCCGCGCTGCCACCCAGACGTCGCCCTGTTCTGATGACCCCGGGTGCCGGCCTGCCCCTCCATGGCAGGCCGTGTTGCCCCGGGAGTGAGGTCAGAGCAGCAGGGGCAGTGTCCGGCTGCCCTGGGGCCAGTGCCGCCCCGGGGGAGGGAGAGCCGCCGGCACCTGGGTGCCCGGGACTTCCCGGCCGGCTCAGGCGCAAGGGAAGGGTGACCCTGAGAGTAACTTCCTAATAAAACGGCTCTGATCTATGTGGTCACAGCCCCAGGCTGGGGCTCACTTTCCTCCTGCAGAGAGAGAGGCCGTGGCACTGGTGCACCCAGAGAAGGTCCCCATCCGGGCTCCTCGTAGCTCCCGGCTCTGCCATTATGTGTTAGTGGTCATCCTCACGTTCTCAGGGCGGCTGCTGCACCCCCAGCCCTTGCGTCTGAGACGCAGGCAGGAAAGAGGGAGGGAAAGGTGAATGAACTGTCCAGGTCTGTTCCCGGCCACTGGGAAGGGAGCAGGAGCACCTGGGCCCTCTCCGGCCCGGCTGGCGCTCGTGAGCTGCTTCGCCTGCGGGACACGGGTGGTTTGGTGTCTGTGCGTTGTGGGGTACACAGGGTCCCGGACACCCCCTGGGCCGCCCTCCCTCTGTGCCTGTGCCCGAGCCCCCTGCGGGGCTGCCCAGGTCCCACCAGAGCCCCTGCCGCCCCAGCAGGGCCCTGGGCCTCTGGCCAAGCCCGTCCTGCCCCTCCCCCTCGGCGTTGGTGTCCGTGCCCTGGGCTGGGCCGGAGATGGTCAGTGTTGGCACCTGCCTCCTGCATGCGTCCACCCACGGGGAGCTCACCCCTCCCACGCCTGTGCCCACGGGAGCTCGCCCCTCCCACGCCCGTGCCCACGGGGAGCTCACCCCTCCCACGCCCGTGCCCACGGGAGCTCGCCCCTCCCACGCCCACACCCACGGGGAGCTCGCCCCTCCCACGCCTGTGCCCACGGGGAGCTCGCCCCTCCCACACCTGCATCCACCGGGAGCTCGCCCCTCCCACGCCCACACCCACGGGGAGCTCGCCCCTCCCACACCTGTGCCCACGGGGAGCTCGCCCCTCCCACACCTGCATCCACCGGGAGCTCGCCCCTCCCACACCTGTGCCCACGGGGAGCTCGCCCCTCCCACACCGGCATCCATGGGGAGCTCGCCCCTCCCACACCTGTGCCCACGGGGAGCTCGTCCCTCCCACACCGGCTTCCACGGGGAGCTCGTCCCTCCCACACCTGTGCCCATGGGGAGCTCACCCTTCCCACGCCCACACCCACGGGGAGCTCACCCCTCCCACACCTGTGCCCACGGGGAGCTCGCCCCTCCCACACCTGTGCCCACGGGGAGCTCACCCCTCC